AGGCTGCTTAACTTGTCTAAGCAACAACTGGTGTATCAATTGTGGTTGTGATACTATCTCCTTCAAATCAATGAAGGAACCAAAGTATGCATTCTTAAATAAAGTCATTTGATATGAACTAAATTTTTCATTTAGTTCAATTATCACTCTTGTGGAGATAATAATGTCATTTTTCCTTTAAACCAACATGATTGAGGAATTAATAAATCTCAATCCTACAAAAAGGAAAAAGATGCAGTTAAAATAAAATTCAACAAAACATACATGCATTAAGAAAGTTTGTAACATACACGTTTGTAACATGTTATAATGATTGAAAATAAGTTTGTAATATACAACTAATAAAAGAGTGCATAACTAAAAAAGTGACAATAAAATTAAAAAATCACAAAAAAAAAAGTGACATAAAATCGAAGGCATATGAATGAGTGTCAACTCATATTTGCCTAGATTCAAGTGAACCTTTAGATATGTAATGCGACAACAAAATAGCATCCAAGTTAAGCCATGATCATTCAAATTGTTAAAAAGTGATAAATATAAAGACAAGCTAACTAGAAGTTGACCACTTATGATACTACAAGATGACATAAAACTTTTTTATACATGTGAATATCAGTCACTGTGAACATATGCACGTGCATGAATCACTTTTGGCAAACACTCAAAAAAGTAACAAAAAATAACAAAAAAGTGACTATAAGAATATTTCTCTAATAAAAAAAGGATGTTTGATTGTAAGATGCTACGGGAGCAATGAATTAGAATGTTAAAAGTCATCAAACAAAACTTCAAATTTTGTTCTACAGATGCTATTACTATTTTAAAGGAAGCTATAAATGACACATTAGTTCAAGCTCTACATTTATACAAAATTGCTAAAGTCTAAATCAAAACATTTTCTAACACATTCTCTCAAATTTCCAAAATGAGCCAAAAATCCACATTACAGGACTAACAATCCCACGTAACAAGACATGTGAAGTCTATCAAACTACAAAAGCAAAAAACCTAAACATAATGGGCAAACTAATTACTACAACATTCAAATTTGTCATCATCTAATCACATGCAAAAAATTGTGTTGGACCATGCTTAGAGAGTTGCATATATGTGCATTGTTTTCACTTGTTCTTTTTATTTTTTTTAATATATCGATACTCATCTACCCAAAGTATAGCAGCATTTGTCGTCCAAAAAACATATAAACAAACGGAAAACGAAAATTATTACCAAGCATTATCCAAAAAAGATATACAACAAATTTCAAGTATTATTATCATACTAAAACATTTAAAAAATGTTGCTACCTTGAGTTTATAAAAGGATGAAGAAATTTTGTGCCTCTTCTTAGATGATGGTTCTTTTTCGAAATTTATTTGCCTTTTCGAGCCACTTTTTTTAAGTCATTGTAGAAATACAAGTTAATAATCGGAATCGAAATCAGATTTTCGGATTTTGGATATAGGGTTTCGGCTATTTGGAATTTAGGGTCGAAATGAGAATGAGATAATGAAACCGAACAGATACGAAGAAGAAATTGATGGAAAATGGTCGAAAATGGAAATTTATAGTCGGATTTTGCTCGTAGATATGGAATCGATGGAAAATAGGTCGGATTTTGCCTCTAGACGATTTCTACGAATGAGGATGTGAACCCGAACGAATACGAAAGGAAGACGAAGAAGAAATTGATGGAAAATATGTCGGAAATGGAGATTTACAGTCGGATTTTGCAGATTTTTTCGACTTCGCCTATGGAGATTTGGGGGAGGATATTACGTTTTTGAGGAGGAGAGTAGATTATGTGGTTTGGGCTTGTACAAGCTGGGCTTTGGTTTTACAAATATATGATGTAATTAATACTTCATTAAAATGTTTAATTAGTTTAAGGGTATTAATCAAAATACTGTAAAAAAAAAGGGATATATGGCCTAATTTCCTCGGTGTAATATGGGGACACGATCAATCGCTTTAGGCCCAATCCATGCAAGTTGCATTGGGCCAAGTTCTTGTAAACGGCCATTTATTATAAAGTTTCAGTATAAATCAGTGTTCTAAAAAACAACGACTAAGCGAGAAGTGGGCGCAAAACGCCTCACCTTGCACTTTTTCTCGCTTCTTCTTATTATCAATATTTTTTATTATTTTTTTGCTTTTTATATTTTTTTGGCAGCACTCCTTTTTTTACGTTTTTTATGCTCTTTTTACATCTATTTTACGTTTTTTCATTAATTATTAAATAATTTTTAGATTATTTAAAAAATTTAAACATTATCCAAATAAAAAAACTTTTTTTATGGTTAGGCTTCGCCTAGTTCGAAGTTTGACCTCTACGTCTTACATTGCTTTACATTTTTCAGAACATACTGATATAAACAAAAACAATAAACCCTTTACCAAAAATGACTTCGCGAGACTGGGCTTGCAAACAAGTCAACCAAACATCTCCTTTATAAGTCTAAATTAAGGATTAAGTAAATTTAAAATTGAGTTAGGCACTCTTCTAAATAAGTGTGAGGCTTAAATCTTGGTTTACACGTGAATATAATGTTGAATCATGTTATCTATAAAATGTCAATAAAAAGAAATTACTATTTGTGTTTAATTTTCACTATCATTAATGTGTGATTTGAACAATTTATCATAAATTTATATTCATTCCCTTTGAGATGAATTACCCAAGCTGACTAATATTGAATAATCCACGTGATAAGCATCTAAAGTTACATCTTAATTGGGAGAAGCAGTGAATCAAATAGATTCTCTTGATTTCTCTTTTGGGATTTTTTTTCACTTTAAACATTCATGTATAAGTGTTAAATGAGGTGAGCCGCTTGCCGATTCATTCACCTCACACACGGTTCGTGCAAAAATCTCATGCGAGTCACTTGTTGGCTCATCTAGTAAAAGTGTAATTTTTAATTCAAAGAAATTGACGAGCCACAAGCAACTCATGAGTCGACTCGACTCATCTTACCAAAAAGCGAGTTGATGTGATGATTCGAGCCCATATTTTATTAAAAGAGCATAGACACGATCCATTAAACATCCCAACATTCATGGATGAAATTTTTATAAATATTAGTAGTAAAGAAAGGTGGCTTTCTAAATAAAGATGAAAGCATGGCAATTCGGGACATGGTAATTATATTCACAATACAATTTTTATTTTTTACATTACATTTTAATTGCACTTCAAGTTCTTAATCTTTGTTTAGTTTAACACTTATATTCCTAAGTTTTTTTTATATTATTTATTATTCTCAAAACTTTTCATTAATTAATACATTTTGTATTTGATAACAATTTTATGTCCAAAAGTCGTTGAGATTGCGTAAAACTACTTATTTTTCCATCATATTTTGAAAAAAATAAATAAATAAAAGTGCAAAAAATATTTTTCCTTCATTTCAAAATATGTAAACAAAATATTTTGATATAAATTATTATAAAGGACGAAACGTACTAGTTAATGAAAGGTTGAAGATAGCAATTCGACGAAAAAAAGTTAAGTAAATAATTAATATAATGAACAGAGATTGAAGTGCTTAACTGTAATTAAAATGTGAATGGCAATATAACCACTGGTTCGGGAAATTGATTATGAAGATAATAAAATAATTCTATAAATTACTCATATTACACTAACTGCTAGTGACAGCCAACGCTAACCAAACGCTATTCCCCACCCACTCCCAACCCACGCGCCGCCGTTCCGGAGCTTCCCGATTTCTTTGTTTCTTGAAGCAATCGAAATTATTTCCCAAAATTTTCGTATACTTTGTGTTGTGCTTGGAAACAAATCAACCTTCATTTTCCATGTTTTGTCTTTCAACATAGCAGGTTGCAAGATGTGTCATTTTTACAACTACTGTCTAATGACAGTTCAACTATCCATCTTTCTCTCTCGCCTACCCAATTTTCTATTCTTTTAGTAAATAAAAATTCCTTATTTGTTCTTGGGCACTCCCCTTTATAATTGAACCGTGGGGTTTTCTTGATTTTGGCTCGGTTTTTCGAGAGAGGAGAAAGTGGGTATTGTGAAAAATGAAGAAATGGGTTTTCACTGTGCTTTTTTCCTTCGTATTTTGCGTGAGGATTGAAGCGTTCAAGTTCCATAAAACCCAACAAACTGAGAGAATATCGGGTAAGAATAATTATGTTCATTTCAACTCGTTGAGATTTCTCTTATTAGTTGTTGATTTAGCTGAGATCTTAGTGGTTTTATCGGATTTATTTTGTTGATTTGAGAAACCTGGGAGGTTGGTATTGATAATTTTATTTCAGTTCTGGGAGTTGAATTCGGAATGCAGTTAGGGTTCTATTGTGACGTGGGCGGTGATGAGGATTGGCTACATATTATGAATTTTCCCTATTTCAGTGAAGAAATTGTGAATTATAAGCGTTGCATTTAAAATTGAATCTATAATTCTTGTTATCTCGAAGCGTTGATGAATGATTCACTTGGATTGATTTACTGATGTTTCGATTCAATGGAGTCGATAATGAAGGTTTTTTCTGTTAGGATGCATTTTCGACCAAGACTGATAATTAAAATGAACCTTTTTTTGGCTTTCATTCTGAAAATTCCTAGTTAAGTACGGTAGTAAATCATTTGGTTGTTTAGGTCTAAATCAAAACATCCATATTCATGATCCTCCGGTCGATTAATCTGTGTCGTAAATAGGATCCAATTCCAATCATGTGGTGTAATCTCCAGTACAAATAAGAATGACTAGTCCTTTGTTAAGCAGAAAAGTTGTCAATTCTATTTGATTAAATTGATAGAATGCCGTTTCTGTTTTAAATGTGAAGATTCCTAACTCGGAGACGTGGAAAAGTACTCATGTAAATTATATGTTGCTTCTGGTCTAATCCATGATATTCATGACCTGATATTTGGGCATACTATGTCATAAATCTAATAAAATCACGAGGTACAATCAAGTCGACCTTGGATCAGTAATTATCTATATTTTCCTAACATATTGCTCAACCTAGAAAGCAACAGAATATAAATATTTCTCCCTGCATTAGAATTTGCCTTGAAAAGCTCTAATCCTATTATTTCCCCAATAAAGAAGAAAAAGGAAAAGAGTAATATCCAAGGTGCGTGGTTTTCTGTTTCTGTTAGAAACAATCTTCCAAATATGAGGCAGTCTAGATATTTACTATGATATGTTCTTAGTCGCAGTTGAGTCCATGATTAAATTAAGAATTTCCTATTTTCCCCATAGAACAAAGTACGTCTACTATAATTACCACCCAATAGGGGAACCGAAAAGAATTGCTGCCCAAATTTGAAGTAGTGCTGCTCATGTGGATGTGATCTTCTACTTTCTTTCCGAATTTAAAGTATGAGGCCATTCATTATGCTGGTATTTCCAAATTTTAGGTAGTGCTGGTGATGTCTTGGAAGATGATCCAGTTGGAAGGTTAAAAGTTTTTGTTTATGAGCTGCCTAGCAAATACAACAAAAAAATTCTGCAAAAGGACCCACGATGCCTGACTCATATGTTTGCTGCTGAGATTTACATGCATCGGTTCCTTCTATCAAGCCCAGTTCGAACCCTTAATCCTGAGGAAGCAGATTGGTTCTACACACCTGTATATTCCACCTGCGACCTTACACCAAATGGTCTCCCTTTACCATTCAAATCGCCACGTATGATGAGGAGTGCTATACAGCTTATTTCTTCCAACTGGCCTTACTGGAATAGGACTGAGGGGGCTGATCACTTCTTCATTGTGCCACACGATTTTGGGGCATGCTTTCACTATCAAGTAAGAACCTCTCTCTTTTTGTACTCCACTCATGGTACTGAGAACATATTTGTCTTAGCATCGAAAAATTAAGAAGTTATTCAGAAATTAACGTTTTTGTTCCTAATTTTTGGATAGCTTACGTTCAAGTTTTAAAAAAAAAATTGCTTATTTTGAAAGTAGATTTTAACTTGCTGTCCAATAAGTTAATTATTTCCAACTTTCACCAATAAAAAAGTTATTTATTTCAAAACCTACTTATTTTAGTACAAAATAACATTTGAAGCTTAGCCAGACTTATTCTCTTGCACTTGTGAAGTTCATGTGCATCTTTTGCAGTGATTTGGCATGATATATATCTTAATATACTTGGATCACTGCAGGAAGAAAAGGCTATTGAAAGAGGGATTCTTACATTGCTCCAACGTGCTACCTTGGTTCAAACTTTTGGACAACGAAACCATGTTTGCTTAAAGGATGGTTCCATCACAATTCCTCCATACGCTCCTCCACAGAAAATGCAAACCCATTTGATTCCTCCAAGCACTCCTAGGTCCATCTTTGTTTACTTCCGAGGATTGTTTTATGATGTGGGGAATGATCCAGAAGGTGGTTACTATGCAAGGTATATTTCATTAGACCTTCATCTTGCAGGTGTTTAAATGGCTTACAAAAATAAGTTGATTAGAGTTTAATCTGACTCATCCTTGAAATGAAATGAGATCCAACTATCCAAAAACTAATTTCTGTTTCAAACTTTGTAGAGGTGCACGAGCATCAGTGTGGGAGAATTTTAAGAACAATCCTTTGTTCGACATCTCAACCGAGCACCCAACTACGTACTATGAAGACATGCAGAGAGCTGTTTTTTGCCTTTGTCCACTTGGATGGGCTCCATGGAGTCCGAGATTGGTAGAAGCAGTTATATTTGGTTGCATCCCTGTTATCATAGCAGATGATATTGTCTTGCCATTTGCTGATGCAATTCCATGGGAAGATATCGGAGTATTTGTAGCTGAGAAAGATGTTCCTAAGTTGGATACAATTCTCACTACGATTCCCATTGAAGAAATTTTGAGGAAACAGAGATTACTTGCCAACCCTTCGATGAAACAAGCTATGTTATTCCCGCAACCTGCTCAATCAAGGGACGCCTTCCATCAGATTCTGAATGGCCTTGCTCGTAAGTTGCCCCATGATAGGAGTGTGTACTTGAAGCCAGGCGGTAAGGTCCTGAACTGGACAGCAGGTCCAGTGGGCGATCTCAAACCATGGTAGTGGCACTTCCGGAAATGTTAGTAATCTGAAGTACAAAATTTTGTGCAATTTCATGTACTTCTTTTGCAGCTCTAGGCTCTGTTGTTTTTGCCAAGAGACTGGTGAATCTTGAAATTTACTGTTTCAAATCAGCAAGGAGAATGTTCTCTCCATTGCAGCAAAATTCACACTGATTCTATCCCCCTTCAAGTCAGTTAAAAAGTTTTTTGAGTGTGAATAAAGAATAATCTCAAAACCTTCATTTTTGGCTATTAATTTCAATTAATACTGGCCAACCACAGAAGAAATAAAATATTTAGACTTGAATTGGTGGGGTGCGCCAGGTCCGTGCTGTAGTGCAACGCATGGACGACGCTCAAGAGCCCGAGCAGCAAGCTGCCCATTGGACCCTCCCCCTAAAAAAATTAATTTAATATCGTGTGGACCGATGGCCCACATATCAGATATTAAACTGATAAGAACAGATACTACACTTGATCTTAGCCAAAAGGCCGAGAAAGGTATGCTTAATTCAGTAATGGGCCAGCTCTTTTATAATAGTCAGATCCCTCTCAAGTTTTCTCTACATTCGATGTGGGACAACATGTAAACCAATGAGTTCAAGCTTTAAAATCATCAGACCACCTCATTTCCCATTTCCAGCACAAATAAAACGCCCTAGGTTGGAGATTACGACAATTGAAAACTATGAAGCATGCATTTCGAAACCTCTCTTTGCTCCAGAAAAAAGTATCCTGGTCTTCGACTGCAATCTCAAACAACTTTATTATCGATCATTTTACATTACTATATTCAGCTTTTTGTTATAAATATATGGAAAAGATGGAGAGCTCATTATCTCAAAATAAGTATCAATTCGAATGTGGAAGTTCCAGGAGGAGAGGGCGGCGTCACATGGAATATCTTTGTCATAAAACCTTCACTGAGAGTCTCAAGAATAACTAAAATAGACCTTGGAACTGAGTACCATTCTTCACTAAAAACTTGATATTAGCACGAGTCTCGCGAATACTCATTTAATGAAATTGAAAATGGGAATTGAACAAGAAAAAATGAATTCCCTCGTGAAGGGCAGGTTGAAAATATGATTTTCAAATGATGCGCGTAAATTTTCTAACAATTTAGCCTATGTTAATTTGGCCCCATTTTTCTAAAACTCATTTTCACCTACATATTCTTCCATAAAATAATTTCACACATAAATTGAAAATGTTTCCTTATTTTCTATCCACAAATTCTCTAAAAAAAACTCATTATTCCAAAAAAAATTTCTCAAAAAATGGGGCTCAAAAATGTGTGCAATATTGTAAATATCTAGATCATAAATTGATATTACGTGCTTGCAAATTGGGAAAATTGCCTTATTAGTCTTTTAATAAATCTTGATTCTAACTCACTTAATTTGATAGTTTTCAAATTTTCAATTATAGCAATTTTTAGCTAATGAATACATGCAATAAACTATTTAGAGCCTATTTGAGCCATATTTTTTCAACAAAATACATTTTGAAATAGTATTTTGATAGAGAATGTGTGGTTGAAAAATAAGGAAGTATGTGATTGAAAAAATAAAGAAAAATGTATTTTGAAAATAATGAAACCCTAACAACGCTTAATTTTTAGTCAAATCTGGATAAAAAGGGCAAGGAGGTGGGCTTTCATGTATTGGACTATGATTGGTTGGGTGTGCCATGCCCGAGCAATAGTGCAACGCCAGGTCAACACTCAAAAGCCCCAATAGCAAGCTAATGTAATGGACTCTCCCCCTTATATATGTAGTTGAAAAGGAAGAAAAATTTATTGATATAATGAAAAATATATTGTTGAAAATGAGTAGAAAAATGAGAATGAAAAAAATAATGTGACTCAAACGAGCATAAGTACAGATACTACACATGATCTTAGCAGAAGGCCAAGAAAGGTATGCTTATTCAAGTTATTGGCCTGCTTTTTTATATTACTTCAATCTCTCTCGGTGTTCTACAATGTGGGACAAACATACGTTTTCATTTCCCATCTCCAGTGCACATACAGAACACTCGTGGATGGAGATTTCAACAATTGGAAATTGTAACACGCGTTCATTTCTCAAGTTGTCGTCAGAGCAGTATTCAAACCCTCTCTTGAATCGACAAGAAAATCTCGGTCTTCCATTGTAATATCAACGACTTTGTAATTGAGTCATCATAAATTAGTTTCCAAAACCGTATCTCGCTCATTACTATACATCGACTAAAAGATATCGAGCTTGTTGTCTCAAACAAAGTAGCGGCTGTGTTGCAAAACCGAGTTAATGTTAAGAATGAGTTCGAGGGTGGCATGCGATGAGAGGTGTTTAATGAGAAGGCAATCATACCATCACTTCTATTGGGAAAACGGGTGATGACATTTGACTCCTACTAACAGGCTAGCGATCTTTGTACAGTTTTAAGTTTAGCAAATTAGGATTCTCTTTATTCTATTTGTTGATTTCAAAATCTTGCTAACGGTAAAGTCGCATGCACGACTAGGAAGGCAAGCTGGAATTCAAAGCTGCTACCATGAGGGGTTGGTACAATAGTCATATGCAGTTGGACAGATGTACTTGGCTAGATTGAGAAAGAAATATTGCATCCATTTTCTTGGATATTTTTAGTGCACATGGGGAAGTTTAAAGCGAAGGTTTTGTTCAAGGGAAAGTTCTAAGCAAATTCAATCATACATTTTGATCTTCACGTCCATTTGAGGTTTGCTGGATAAGGTCTCTGACTCTTTGCTGTCATTTCCCTAATTTGGTCCCGTTCAAATGATGACGTTAGGCCTATAATACTGTCGACCATTTTATCCTAAAAATAGTGCATATGGGAGCCAACAGAACTGGTGCAGCTTTTTTACCTTTGGCTTCGTCTTTGGTGCTAACCATAGAAGCAAGCTCATACTGTAATTCTCATATCATTCAAGCAACACAGGCGCAAGAAGAGCCAGACGCGGAAAGTATTTTAGACTAGAATTGGTGGGGCGTGCCAGGCCAAAGCAATAGTGCAAAGCTAAGGCGACACTCGATAACCCCAGTAGCAAGCTACTGTGATGAGCTCTCCCCCTTAAAAAATTAATTTAATATCGTGTGAGCCAATGG